TATAATTAATATTTTTGTGTACAAATTTGTGTGTCAATAAACATATATGCCCCCCTACTGTCACACCTTAGTGCATATTTTTGGGTGCTTCATCTGTTGCTTATATATCTTGCATTTCTTAAATTTTAGTTACATGCATAAAGGGAGAAATTGAGGAGAACTTCAAGTGGGATTTTGAGGAATTGAAAGTCTTTCATGCACTCAAAAAGTTACGGTTTAGTTAGGAAAGGGAAGCCCTCATTTTATTGATCATAATTTGACTTTGTTTTTAAGATATTAATGAAAAAATAATTTATTATAAATTCTTTAATTTTATCACGAATGATGAACTTTTAATTTAAAAAAAAAAATCTTAAAGAACATACAAGCTTATTTGAAATAGCCTGACTAGTTAATGAAAAAAAAAAGAAGAAGGTCTTCCATGCATTTAATTATACCAATATAGGGGAGGAAACTATGGAAACATAAAGAGTTATGTGCACGAGGATTGACTCATTCGGTAAAGATCGGACAATAATAAACAATTTATTATTATTATTATTATTATTATTATTTATCTTAATTGTACAATGAGAGATAATAATTTTTTATTTCTTATCTCACCCAATCCGCTTGTCATGTGACTCGAATTTAAAATTTCTTATTTTTAGTAAAAAAAATAATTATTAAATTACTTAAGTCGTTAATATAAACAATTTATTATTAAGTATTGCCATACATAACTCTTTTCTCAAATTTTGTGTGTGTGTCTGTTTTTTCATCGATCAAAATGCCAAATACCATTAGGAACAAGAGTGATACTCCAACCATACAGCTAGAATGTTCAAAAACTCACAAAGCCAAAGGTAATTAATAGACAAATAAATATTCTAGTACTGAACAATATCCAATTTCGAAGAGAACACAACATGTTGATGCCTTAATCCCCGAATATATCTGCCTGTGAAAAGCATAGAATTAGGGCTTGTTTTATTAGAGTAATCCTCTTATTTTTTTTCTGTCGACCCTTGTGCACATCATGATTCTCCCTACTACTTTCATGAATAACTTAGATAGGACAGTGTATTTATATTTATATATAACTTAAGGTTAGCCTCCACCATACCTTTTAATTAAATCCTGTCTTCCTAGTCCAACCATTATCTACTAGCAATTCCTCTTATAATTTAATATAATTAACCCAAGAAATGTGTTTAATCAACAAAACTGTGGGACGGAATTTAGGGTCTAAGTAGAAACCATTCAATATTTGTCAAATTTTCTTCCTCTTAATATTTTCCTATATTTTTCACACTTTTTCTTTGTATCCAAGGAAAAACTTGTGTGTGTGTCATTGTGTTGGTTTTTTGTTTTCCATTTTTTTTCAACGGAAGATGCCCCAGAAAACCTGTGTTTTACCTACCAGACTAGAAGTCTAGAAATGAAAGGGATGTGTTTGACTCAAGTTTGTGTGGGAGTAGGGGGAGACCATATATATGAAGGAAAAGCCTTGCTTTGCGTGATGATATTCCAAAGTTGCGATTTGATTGATTGATTGATAGAAATGACCAAATGAAATGACAAAGTTGATCAAAATTATCAAAATTTAATAATTTACCCCAAACTCCGGCCTCTGTCTTCTGTTTCATACCCAATTGTAGTAAGAAAAATTATTTCCCATCATAATAATTTCTCCTTTTCGGTACCAAACAAAATAATTTTTCTCTTTTTCAAAAAAATAATTATAGAGTTTTATATTTTATTATTTAAATTATATTAAATTAAAAAATATAATATTTTAGATAAAGAGAAGGACTCAATATTAAAAAATTTTTTATTTCATAATTTATTACAATTTAAATTACAAAACAGTTTTTCAAAGAGAAATAGTGCAAATAAAGATATAAATTTTACATTTTTTTTATTTAAGAATGTTAATTTTGTTAGTTTTTAAATAAAGATATTAATTTTTAACTTTTTCTATTTAAAGATATTAATTTTTAATTTTTTCTATTTAAGAATGATAATTTTTAATATTTCAATTAAAAAATTTATTTTTCATGTTAACATTAGCATTTAATTAATCTTTAAATAGAAAAAATTGAAAGTTAGTATCCTTAAATAAAAAAAAATAAAA